ATGGAAAGGAGAAGCTAACTCTAGACCTGGAGGGATTATTAGGGACTCTATATCCTTGACTACTTTATATAGTGGTTAAGGCAGCTCCCGAGAAAGATACAGACAAGAAGGTATGGAGAGCCCAGGGTGGCAGAGGATGTACCCATGCCAATAGCCTGGCAAATGACTGAGGTGTGAAGTTGTCCTGGTCTGTCTCTGACTCATGTAAATGATGATGGCGTTTCTTGCAAAATCCTCGATCCTTTCCTGCAGCTAAGCCTCCTATTATGGAATCAGAGGGTAATTGAGTCAGTGGGTGGTACAGTTATGGGTAAATATTACCAGTTACTAGCCTAAGTAGGGGAGCTGATGAACTCTTCATTTCCTTTCTGGCTTCTCCACCAATGGGTCTCCACCTTCTCCCTTCCCTGAATAGTTCCTTCAAAACATAACTGCCCTTGGACAAATGAAGCAAAAATGGTTTACCAGGAAGATAGGTTGAGATTACTAGCAGAAAAAAAAAAATTTATATGACTCATTTTGATACCACGGAATTTTTCAATCTTTTTCCCCCCCAAGTATCTGAGGGTTAAAATATATGCTTTTCTTCTGATGTCTTTTACTTAGACTATGTCGCTTAACCTCTCTTGGCCTCAATTTCCTCCTCTGTAAAAAAAAGAGATTGGACTCGATATTCCCTAAGGTCCCTTGCAGGTCTAAATCTACAAAACTATGACTGATCTCTAGCTCTTTTCTACTTTAAGAAGCTGTCATAAACAATACTGGGTAATGTCATAAGAGTGGCCTTTCAGTTCTCCATTCTGTAGACATGATCCTTCAAATGTAGTCTCTTTGCTGAAACCTAAGTGCACCATATGTATGTAAATAATTCATTTCTCACCTGGCTGCACTACTACCTTGGGGCTTTTCTGGCTGACTTCTGCCATCATGACCCCAAGAAGCTCATTTTTTGGGATGATTTCATCATCCTCCAAGATCTCATCAGTCCTGGGACTCCACCTCATCACAATCCTCTGCCTTTCTGATTGGAAGGTGGGGCCATGAACTCCAATCCACCATTTAAGGAGAGATCTCATTTCTCACTTGGCTGAACTGCCTCGGGACTTCTCTGACTCTCTCCTCCTCATGCCCCTGCATTGGGTATCTTTCCCCCACCCCCTTCAGCTTCCTTTTTTTTTGGTATTGTCTTCCCTCATTAGATTGTAAGTTCCTTACAGACAAGGACTGTTTCTTTTTTCATATTTGTAGCCCCAGCACTTAGCATAGTGTATAGCACATAGTAGGTGCTTATAATGAATGTGTATGACTATATTCTTGTGGGCACAGCAAAAATTAATAGTATGTTATATTTTTCATAGGATCATAGATTTAGAGCAAGAAGGGACCTCCAAGGCCAGCACATTCAACTCCATTTTATAGAAGAAAATTGGACTCTCCATTAGAAACATTAAAACATAAAACACTCCACAGAAACAAAATAAAACTTTAACCTAAAGATTAAAATTTTCTGCTTTAATACACATTGGTCAAAACACAAGACACAGACTCTTCCTTTGAAGAGCTGAATATTTAAAAAATGCAGTGCTATTTAAGAGAACACAGATAAAAATAATAAATCCTAAAAAGTGCTCAAAACTTTTACTTCATTGGAGTCCATAGGCTCCAGAAACCTGTTTGAGACATGCTTACGACACATCAGTTGCTAGGGAAGACTCTGGTCATCTTCATCATATGGAATCTCCCAAGCAGAGGCTACTGGTATCTTTTAGCATAACAAAAAGGATAGTTACTAGTGATGATTGAGTTCTGCTGCTGAGGGCCTCTGGCCTCCAGAGTAAAGAGCAGGAACAATAATAAAACCCCCATGGGAACTCAATGGGAATCCAGAAACACCCTCCTCAAGTTGTCTTGGTAGAGCATAGCTACAACTCATTAACCCATGTATACTGTTGGAGATTTATACAAGGTCTATTCAATGATTTTTTTTTTAAAGAATCTCTTACTTCTCATATTCCATCACTACAAGAGGAGAGTTAGGTAAGTCATGCTTGGCAAGTTTCCTTTTAAAAGATGGGCCTGACCCAGGAAGTATCTCAAGAGGATATTCACCATCAGCACTCTTGGGACAACTGACTTGACTAGCCTTTCTTTGAATTACCTTTGATGTGATGGCTGATGTTTGATCTCCAGAGAGGATAAATTCCTTCTTATTCCTAATTCTCTACCTTGATCCCTCAGCCAAGTTTTACAATAGGTTTCTAACCACAGTCTTAGATGGAAGATAAAATTGTATATGTTATGTTGCTTCAAGCTTGGAAGAGGGGATTAAATGGTGTGATTTTTGTTTATGGTAGGAAGACAAGCTCCACTTTCTTTACCCCAGGGAAAAGTCCTTCTGTAATTTGATTCATTAGTACTACACCTTCTCCCAACTCCTCAATTACACGCTGACTTTGCTCACTTAGATTTTGCAGGATCATTTTGTGATTCATTCACACAACAGCATTTGCAAAGACAGCTATTATTTCATCAAAGCCATCAGAGATAATGGAATGTGGGGTAGAGAAGATGAAAGTACAGGTGACTGCTAAGAGAGCTATCTTGTCCAGTGAATAATGTTGCGAGTGAGAAGCTAAAGGAATTTCAGCTGTAAATTTTAGCTTCTCAAACTAATAACGAGAGCCAAAAACTTTCATTCCATAAGTCATACAGGCATCTCATCTCTTATAGATGTCAGGAAAGTCCCCAGGGAAATAAAGTCTCAGTACCATCATGCTTGCTTTTAAAAAAAAAGTTTCCAATCAGATAAACATTTCTACCATAATTCTTGTCCTAAAGTCAACTGAATAATAAGATAATCTGTCCTGAATATAGAACCAGGAAATGGTTCTATAAGAACATAGGAATGGAGGTTAGGAAAGGAAGAGCCCCTCTGGGGACCATTTCAGGACAATTTCCTGCCATGGATTTTGAGTGATGCTTCGTCACCTTTGCTAATAAAAATAAGCAATAACAGCAGAAATATTGGTTCTTTAGCCGGAGGATCTGGGTTCAAATCCTTCCTCTTGACATCACCTTTGTGACCTTGGGCAAATTAACTTAACTTCCCTGGGCCTCAGTTTCCTCATCTGTAAAATAAGGGGGATTGAATTAATTGGCCCATGAGGTCCCTTCTAGTTAAGACCTATGAGCCTACAATTTTCCTTTTTCCACTATACTCAGCTACTCAAGCAATAATATATCATTGTCATTATGATAATGCCAAATCAGGCAATTTTTTTCTTGACCTCCTTCATCTCATGAGAAGTGCACTTCCTTCCTAGCAGGAGAAAGCTGAGTGCTGAGTAGTTTTAAAGCAAAGCACCATAATGCTAACACTGTGGATCCACGATCCCAGGGGCTCTGAGCACAAGGTCCGACTACCTAGAACAGAAATAAAACAATGCTTCAAACTCCTGACCACATGCCAATAGCCTGGCTGAAACATATTACTCTAGGGCTGCTCATCAGGCAGAGTTCTTCATTCTGCTGAGTCAGCTTGGTAGCCCTCCTGGAACACCAAATGAGAACGGGATCCCCTTGGGCTCTGGAAAGGGGATTATGGAATGAAACAAGGAAATTCTGGAACTCAGGGCTTAGGGGCTGACCGTGCTGCTTCTGCATAGTAGAAGATGGAAATGGGGATGAGGCTGGTTCACATTTGAGGGAGGGGAGCACATGCACATGTGTTTTTCAAGATCTAATACACAGAAACAGAGAATACAACACTGCTGAAGGCATACTGCATGTTATGGTTTCTACACCCTGGGTCTGCTAGATCAGGCTGGGCGTATTACAATGGACGACTGAATCGACTGAGCCAAGGCTAACGCTGAACAAATGTCTCGAAAGGCCTAGGACCCAGCACCATGTTGTTTGAGAGACAGCCTCACTTCCTCACAGACATGACTTAGAATAGACCATTTCCTACAGTGACACCTGGATAATTCCCTTTGTTGTGTTTTGCTCTGAACCCATGCTTTCACTGATATGGGGAACTCTGTTTCACCAGTGCATATTAGCAAGTGTTCTACAGTCTAGAAATCTTAGCTACCCGGGGCATTGAGGGATTAAGGGGCTTGCCCAGGGTTACACAACCATTCTATGTCAGAGATAGGATGATAGGAAGAAAGGTCATTGAAATCCAAACCTCTTATTTTATACACGAGTAAATTGAGGCACATATAGTTTAAGTGATTTGTCAAGGGTCACACAACTTCATGCGTCTTTGAGGTAGGATTTGAATGTGGACCCAGGTCTTTCTGACTCTGAAGCCGGCTCTCTGTTCATTATATCACACTGCCTCCGTTCAAAAATCCAACATTTGAATAGAAAGGTAACACTAGAACCTTAAAAATCCATAATCCTTGGGGGAGAGAGAACAGGGTCTGAATGATCCTTTTCCCTCAAAAAAATTCATCAAATGAAAAGCTGAATCTGTAGAGTTCATTTGTAACGTCGTCTTCTTATTTTGAAATTGCTTTTGTATGGTCTACAACTGCATATGTCTCCTGCTCAGTTTCTGAATTCCCAACCTTGCCTCTCTTTACTCTGAAAACAGCCATCAGACTTCACCATTGGCCACTGGAAGCTCCTTCCTGACACAAGGTGAGCAACACGTGACAAGGAGAAAGAGCAGCCCCAGGGACCTCAAGGCCCACAATGGGCATTTCCATTTAGCAGCCTTTCCTTATCCCCCTACAGGCAGCTCTTTTAGAGCATGCACCTCCAAAGCTCCACAGATAATCTAGCTGTTAAGAGATAGGACATTTCTGAGTTTGGTTTTAAGAACAACTCAAAAAAAAAAACGGGAGTGCTTTTTAGTTATCACCCAAACAGACGTGCTGAAGCTACACAGAAAGCATCACTATGGATGGCACCCTGGAAAGATGTGAGAATGGCCCAGAATTCAGTATCCTGTAAAGGTGTTGGGTTTACAGGACTTAATGTGGTTCCCTCACCAGACCCCTCATCATCATCATCATCATCGGCCGCCGTCGGCTCCTGATTCTCCTCTGTGAATGCCTGAGACCGGCTCGGGTAATTCTTGCGGTCTGAAAGAGTCATTTGTACTTGTGACCTCTCACCTGAGGTCTCTGAGTGCTGAACTGGCATGGAGGTAGCTAGGCCCTTGTAAGAAATGTCACCTGTCTCATCTTCTTCAAAATCATTAAGGCAGTACACTTCATCCAGGTCAACGTCCAGGGTCCGGAAGCCCTTGGTGACAACACCGGGCCGGGGGTCCAGGATGCCCCCAAGGTGTGGCTGGGCCAACTGTTGCCAGTGGTGAAGCGTAGCAGAACCTTCAAAGGGAGAGCATCAGAAGGAGGAGAAAAAGAAGAGAAAGATGGAGAGGAAAAGAAAGGGGGAGAAGAAAAAGTTAGTATGGATTGCCAAATAATCTTTTTTGCCCAGACCCCAATTCATTCAGTGAGAAACCAGATGGATCCAATCTGACCACATGTACACACTTGAGTTTTTGTGCAGGTGTGGTTGTACTATCATTTCCTAACATGCAACAATGTTCGTAATACCATTCTTGGATGCATCATAAACTTTGGGAAACAAATGCAATTTGTTTTCAAAAATGAAACTAGTGTTCCAGTCAGAAATAAATGTGTAGGGGCTGTTCACAGACTTTCTTCCTAGGCACAAAAAGGATAGCGTAATCACACAGTATTGTAATCTCAGGGGATTTTCTTTTTTAAAGTAAACGGATTATAAATGCAATAGTAGGCCAACCCCTCCAGTGGCAAGTGTTGTGTTTTGTTTTTTTTTTTTTAACATGAAAAATCCAGCGCCAGCTATTTTAGGCAATAGAAGAAAGGACAAAAACAAAAACAAAAAAAGAATCCATAAAGAAAGCCGAGTGTGAAAATTTCAAGCAAACATGGCTTATTGATTAACTGTGCAGAAACAAGGACACTGGGAGTGAAAAGATGGTGGTCATTCAAGTCAAGGGTAGTTTGAAAACAATGAGAAAAATCAGCCTACACATCTATGTGCATATTATATATATATATATATATACACACACACATATATGTATATATACACACATATACACATGCATGCATGTATATATGCATGTTTTATATGTATATATAAATAGCATATTATATACACACACATAAATACTCATTAAAAGACCACATAACAGACTAACAGAAAGGGCTGAAGTCTTCATTAGCTAAGCATATCCTCCTATACCTGTCGGCTCCATCCTTGGGTGACTGACATTCTAGGGATAGCGCATGGGCAGAGGGGGACGGTGAAAAAAAAGGTGTGATAGATACAGAGAGGGTAATTCTATATGAGGCAGAGATCAGCAGAGATGATTTATTAGGTGACACATGAATCTCTGGAGTCAGATGACATTTGATATGGTTTGTAATAACATTAGAACCCGACGATAAACCCAACCAGCCAATATTCATTAATCATTTATGGTCTAAGGAAAAGAGGGAGAAACACCTCCCTACCCCACCATCTCTCTCATGTATATACACACACACACACACACACACACACACCCCAACATACACACACACACACACAACAGTATGTTGTACTTTTGTGTCATTGATTAATCTCATCTCCTGAACTTCTTGCAGAAAACAAAGAAACTGGAGACTTTTTAATTGGAGCAAATTAATCAATGCTAGGACCTCATTAGCTAAGTCATATAACGCAAGGGTGAACAAAAACTTCCTAATTACTACATTCAGGTCACATTTATACAAACATTTATTTCCTACCCAAAGAAAAATGCATGACCTTTAAATACAGCTTTCTGATATTTTTCAATACTAAGACAAGGCAGTATGGCCTAGTGGATATCACATTGGCCTTGGATTTAGGAATATAATTTCGAGGCATTAAAGCATGTAAGTCCATCCGAAGCTACTTAACAAAGGAAATTAAGAGCCTAAGTTTCGTTTCTGACATAACCACTTGTTTTCACTGTGTTATGGGTAACTCTCTAATATTTTAAGTTACAGAGAAGATGGCTTAGTAAAGGCATTAGTAACAAGAGTTTCCTTACTGGAAGTACCCATACAGATTAAATCAAAGCTCTGTATCCAGACCATATGGTAGGAATTATAATTGAAAAACAACCTGTTTAGAAGCTGGGGAGATTTCTGGCATTTAAGTAGATTTTCTGTTTTCAAACTGTTTTCTTTTATTATTTGTCATATTTTAAGGGGACTGTTCCATACATCAGTGAAATTGTAGGTCCAGACCAAAAAAAAAAAAAAAGACATTATGGTTTGTCTTTCCCAAAGGAATGACTCCCAAATAATTTCAATCTGTAATTTGTAAGCACAGGAAAGGAAAAGATTAGTCACTCTTGAGTGGCTAGTGAATTCCTAACAAGTCACTTTGCTGTCATTAAATGGACAAGGTCGGAGGCCAGGAGGCAGCAGGCTTGTAAGATGTATGGGTTATTAGCAATTCTGCCAATGACAGAACCTTGTCTACAAAGAAAGCAGGAGAAAAGAGAAAGGGAAAAAAGATAAGGCAACAGCAAAAGAGACAGAGAGGGGTGAAAAGGAGAAAAAAAGGGGAAAAGTATAGAGAAAAGTTGCCAAGGGTAGAAAACAATAAGGCCTTATCAACTAACCCAGCTACACCCATGCTATTATAGGTTACTTGACCCTATTTTAGGAGATCCTCCTGGAATCACTTTACAGAGGTAACACTTTGCGAGGGCGTAATCTTATTCCCTGGTGTAAACTGAGAGGATCAAGCCAACTCCTTTCTGTGGGTCACCTCACTTGTACAATAGTGGGGCCTACTGACATTCTTGGCATCGGGCCAGACTTCTTATTCCTGGCAACAAAACATATTTGTGCATAAACTTCAGGCACACCCAAAGTCACCTGGCTCAGGATCTTATGTTGACAGGGTATCCAAACTATTACCAGAAGTCACTTAATGCAACTTCTCAATCCTTTTAGAGTATGGGAGAGTGAATACTGAATATCACATTGGCCTTGGATTTATGAATCCATGAGTCAAGTTGAATTTCTGATGTATACACGTGGTTTGACACTGTGCAAATCATTAGCTTTTCTGAGCTCTGGGTAACTTTCTAAGATAAGCTGCAGAGCAGATGCCAACCTTCACTGGTAAAGGGAGTTTCCTTACAGACAGATCTGTATCCAGACCATACTTACAAATTAACTCTTGAAAAAACTACTCATTTAAAGATGGAAAGATATAATGTTTAAGAGGATTTCCTAGAGTTTGGGAGAGTCAGAGGATTTACCATCTACTGAGAAAAAAAAAACTGAGCCAAGTCTGAAATAACAAGCAAAAATCCATTTGTTTCAGAGCCCAGAAAAAAATATGGGGACAGGTCACAGGACTGGGTCTGGACTTCCCCAACTCTCGTGAAAGGCACTTGGGGACTTGGTGAAACACAAGGGAAAAGGCAATGTAATAGACAGTGCTTTCAACTAAGACAGAGGAGCCATGGGCTCAGAACTAACTCATTGTGGAACCTTGACAAGCCCCTATGTCGGAGTTTGCCTGTCTAGACAATGGGTGCACTAACTCTCTCTTTACCTTACTGGAAGGTCCTAAATTAAAAATTAGGCTACAGAAAATACTTCGTTTTTTAAGATAACTCTATAATTTCAAGGCATTGAAGCATGTGAGCCCACTTGAAGCTGCTTACCAAAGGATATTTACTAAGAGCCTAAATTCAGTTTCTGACAAAAGTTTCAAAGACATTTTTTGTACACTATGTTGCTAGATCTTCCAACAGAATGGCACACGAGCATCCAGTGTTTACACAAGGAAGAAGGGCATAGAGGCCGCACACCCACACCTAGGAAGGCTTTTTATACATTTTATACAAAGTCGCTTTTTATTTGCCCTAAACTAAAAATGGTAAGATCCATCTTAAACATTTTAGCTGCACACTACCATGGGCTATTATTCAAATTAAGTATCACCTCTTAGGAGTTACAATTCATGAAGATACTAACAGCTACCTAATAAGAATTTACAACACTTAAGACAGCAGGCAATTCTGGTTTCTGTGCCAGAAGGCAACATGTCATCCCATCCTCCCCTGCCACCATTTTGAATCTTTACTAACCTCTTGGATTTTGTAGGAATTCCTCTTCTACCATCTCTATCATCACACACACACACACACACACACACACACACACACACACACACCCTTCCTTAGGTTGACACCTCTTTGGGGGCAAAAGTCTTGAGAGTTGAGGTACTTGATATTAAGGTTGTACAAATAAATGAATCAGCAACCTGTCTGCCTTGCTCACCTCCTAGTCAATTAAGAACATGAATCAGATTACATGTGGGCTAGGCAAATAAGGAAAAAGGAAAAAAAAGGAAGCTTCTCCTTTCCCTTCCTACTAACAACTAGGTTCAATGCAAGGGTATGAATGGGGAAGAAAAATTAACATCTTTGTCAACAGTTACTCCTTTATTTATCCTCCTACCACACTGACCTGTGTTGTAGCTGCTATCTTAACAGAGGAAAGCCAACTCACAGGTTTTATAAAATTGATTTAAGTCAAAGGCACATACCCCAAACATAGAAATGCGTCTGTTCTACAATATATAGCTTGAAAGTATGTGTCCTATTGCTAATTATAGCTTAAACTCCTTCCTTTGGAAATTTCATTTGGGTTTTAACTCTTTAGAAGAGCTAAATGCAGAAAACAACACTTTTCTCCTTAATGTGTGAATGTTTTCAGTCTAAATGTTTTATTCTCCATCTAGTCAAGATATCAGGGCAAGATAAATATAAGAAAGGGCAGCTAGGTGGTGTGGTGGATAGAGCAGCTGACTTGGAGTCAGGAAAACTCATCTTCCTGAATTTAAGTTCAACCTCAGACACTTACTAGCTGTGTGAGCTTAGGCAAGTCACTTAATCTGTTTGCCTCAGTTTCCTCATCTGTAAAATGAGCTGGAGAAGGAAATGGCAACTCACTCCAGTATCTTTGCCAAGAAAACTACAAACTGGGTCTTGAGAGTTGGACACGACACAACCAAAACTAGGATAAAATTGACAAACTTATTATCTGTCTATGGTGACTCTTCAACACAAAACTTTAAAAATTCAGTTCAGCTAGTCCAGTTTAGAGTGATAAACAGAAAATTAAACAAAATTAAACACACAGATGAGAAAGGCATGGATAAGAATGATGAGAGATTATCTAATATGTCCCTAACCCAAACTTTCCCAGTCCCCTAGATCATAGCCCATGCTTTCTAGGTTTCTACCTGAGCATGGTATAAAGAGTATAAAAATATAAATGGGGGGAAAAGAGGAATTGAAGATTGTTAATACTAGAACTAGCCACAAACAGCATTTTCTGATACAAATGGTCTAAAACTCGGGATACCATTATGCTGACATGGCTTCTGGGTTACTCAGTTGAAATCATGGGGATTTTTCAAATTAAGCTTTTCAAATATATAAAAAGGAAAGAGGGATACAAAGCCTAGATAGACCTGATAAAACTGCCAAGCTAATTAGTTAAATGATCATAGTGGAACCATCAGAGGAGTCTGTAATATAAGGTTTATCCACAGACTAGACTAGTATGATAATACTTGATTCTAGGATGCCAGTGAATTCTGTTTCAATTGGCGATAGAGTAGGTGGCAGGACATTCTGGGTAAAATTCATCTTGTATCTTTCCTTTTGTGTTAAATTTACCTTAAAATTCTTGCCCAACGTTCACTCCCAAACTAAATTATGAGATCAAAGGAGGTCAGAGGGTCATAGATTTAGAGCTAGAAGGGGCCTTTGAGAAAACACAAGGTAAAGACAAAATTGTGTAATTGGTATAAAAAAACCTAACCCATTTCAAAGAAGGAAGGCATTCAATGTTATGTATTTGAGTTTAAACAATAAACCTAAAGGAGATACCGTTATAGGACCCTAAAGGGATGAACAATTTAATTAAGGAAGGGGAAAGGGAAGTGAAATGATAAAGCTAACATAACACAATCACCTCTTGAGAGAAGGAAAGGAAAAGAAAGGCATATAGAAAGATTATGGAAATGAAAGATTTTATTGAAAGGAAAAAAAAAAAGACAAGATTGGAAGCCAGAAATAATCACAATGTTTGCAAGTAACAACTTAAATGAAAGTGGGCCATTCTATTTCCAAAGTGCTGGAAGACACCTATTGGAATAATATTAAAATAGAACTTATTTTGCTTGACTATGCATATTTGTTACAAGGGTTTGTTTTTCTTGTTTTTCACTGAGGAATCGAAGGGTAGAGAAAATAGATGATTGTTAATTGAAAAAAAAATTAGTTAAAAATTTCTAATGAGAACAGAAGACTACCGCGAAAAAAGCAGAATCAGTCCAATGGAGCACTTTGAATGCAGCATTTGGGGGGCAGGTGGATACTTTCTAAAACTGCTTTTAGGCCTGAAATGTTGATCACTGTGAGAAAGTACTATACATCTTTGGTGAGAACAACATGCAGACAAGTTACAAGACAAAGATAAAAGGTTCCAGTGGGAAAATGGCATAAAAGATCATAAAAGAACACACATAAATCTTCAGAGGGATGTGGAGGCTGGGATATCCTAAGCTAAAAAGAAGAAAAAATAGGGTGGGCATGGTGGTACATGATTGCAATCCCCTCTACTGAGGAGGCTGAAGCTGGCAGATTCTTCTGCTCAGTTCTCAGCTACTCTGATTGGGGGTCCACATCAACAGGATAAGCCCCTGGAATTGGGGGTCACCAAGTTGCCTAAGGAGAGGCAAACCAGCCCATGCCAGAAATGGAGCTGGTCAAGCCTCCTGTACCCACTGGTAGTGGGTTGAAGACCTTGAGTAGTTCCTGCATTCACAGCCTGGGTGACATAGAGAAACCCAATCTCAAAAAAAAGAAAAAAAAAAAAGAAAAGTTGGGTTTTTTTCCAAATTCAGTCACCAGCAGTGCTCCTGAAACAAGGATTAGTAAGCACAGGTAGAGACTGATTCAATGGAATTAGGTAAAAGAAATATTGCCATTGTAATGTTTCCATACTCTCCATGCTACAGAAACCCATTATCTTTGAGAGAGAGTGTGTGAGTGTGTGTGTGTGTGTGTGTGTGTATCTCCAACTAAACTGCACTGTGCTCATTCTAAGAGAGGACGATGGAGCAAACAAACCATTTTCATTTGGCCAATGAAGGTCTGATCTAAATTAGTTGGTTTTGAAATCCATATTTAGGGAATCAAAGCACAGACACAAATTTTCTGCCCTTTCCAAAGTCCCAAGCATGATCTAATGCATTTATGAACTCCTAAATAGCTTCATTATATTTCTCTACCATTTCAGGAAAAAAATAATTAACAAAATTCATTTCAGATGAAAAATTAAGTTTGGACTGAATTGCTTTTCAGCCCTTAAAAGCACACTTGGTGTTCAGAGGGATTGGGGGGAAGTTTGCTTTTTAAATTTCAACCATAAATGGCTAAGGTTTTCGGTGTTAAGTCACCCTCAATGGATTTCAAACCAGCATCGGGGGTGGCTATCTTTAAAGTAAAAGGAGTATGTATTACAGAGGTTTCCTGATTTACAATGGTGGATTAAGGACCAGAGAGAGTCACCCAGAATGACGGACAGAGGCCGAGGCCCTTTGTTATCACCTTCTAAGGGTTTCACAATCTGGAGTTTCTCCGGCAGGTAGGAGCGGCTGCTGAATGACATGCCAGAAAATCCGGTGAACTCCGAGAATCTCGAGTGGGTGCCCAGGGACATGATGCTTTCAGTCGGGGTGAGGGAGCCGCTCTGAAGCTCACCCTTCTCCGCCAATTCCCGAAGCTTCCTCTCCTGCTCTTCCTCAAAGAATTTTCTTTCCGAAAGGTAATTCTCCCGCCGAAGTGACAGTCGCCGAAGCGCTATCTCCAGGTCATGGGAGCCGGGGGTCCCTGGAGTCCCAGGCTTCTTATTCTTGTCCTCATTTCTAGAAAAGCGGGTGATAAAGGGGAGGGAGATGGGACAATGAGAGAGAGAAGAATGTCCAGGGAAAGGAACTTCAAAATGTATAAATGCAGTCAATTCTTGCATCTTGTAGGAAACTCTACTCCTGGGGCTTGTAATTAAGAAAAGCTATTTGTCAAGAATAACAGGTTAAGTCTAAAAGAAATGAGCCCACAACACAAAGGCATACAAAGAATTCGGGTATGTATGCAAATAATTCACCATGTGCCTATGAAATTCACCACCTTTGGTAGAATTGGAGAAAAGTCTTTTTTGGAAGGATAAGAAAACTGCACACCGTTTTAACCAGCTCTTTGTGATTTTCTAAGAGCTTCTGCTGGAAGCCTTCCCTAGCCCCCATCTGGTGCCTTCTTCTCTGAGACTGCCTCCTTCTACTCTGTGTGTATCTTGTATTTAGCCAGTCATTTACAGGTCATTTCTCCCATTGGAATGTTAGCTTCTTGAAGGCAGGTCTGTTTCACTTTTGGCTATGTAGCTCCAGCAGGTAGCACAGTACCTGGCCCATAATTATTCCTTTATAAATGTTTGTCAATTGACAGAACTATGCTTATTTTTCCTTCCTGAATTTGAGAGTTGCTCATCATTTAAAAAAAAAAAAAACACACACACTGCAGACCAATAGGCCTTGACTGATCATTTGTCCCAAAAAAGATTTGCCTGTGTTAAAATCTATTTTAGAGGACAATTGCTCACTCAAATTAGATGGGCAGGCACATGGGGTAGCTCCCAGAATTGATCTCACCATCAGGAAGATGAGGTACAACATTCCATAAGATTTCATAGTTAGAAAGGAACATCAGACACCATCTTGTTCCAACCCATACCAAAAACAAGAATCCCCTCTTATTTCGAGTGTGACCTTGGGAAAATTCCTTCACTCCTCTGGGATTTAGTACCTTATCTATAAAAAAGAACCAATTTGTATCACCTACATCTTGGGTTGTTGTAAGGAAACTGCCTTGGATACCATAGAGCACAATGGAAGTGTTATTATTATTATTCAATGCCATGTATATAGTGATTTGAGATATGCAAAGCACTGTGTGTGTGTGTATATATATATATAAAAATATATATATATAAATTCACTTAATATAGCGAAAGTTACTATATTTTATTATAAAAGTGTGTAGGGCAAAGGATTCAAAAGGAGGCTGAGTAGCCTATGGTGAATTCTACCAAGGAAAACCAAAATTACCTAGAAGGGCTAAGTTCTCTATCACACCAATCTCTGAGCTACATGCAAATATAAACCATGTTTACACCATAAACATGATTGGCCCACTGAGTTGCTCATGTCATGCTTGCCCATAGGACCGTCAGCCAAATATTTGAGTACAGCCAAACTGAAAAAGGGGAAAATAGTTTCATAAGCCTACCTTCCATTTTATAGACAAAAGCTGACCTCCCAGCTTCTTGTTACCATTCCTTCTAATTTCATTCAAAATGAAAAGAGTGGGGTGCAGTGGGGAAAATGCTGAACTCAAGTCAACAAGATTTTAATTTGAATCCTGACCCTGCCACTTACTACCTCTATAACCTCAGACAAGTTCCTGATCCACTCTGAGCCTCAGGTTTCTTCTTTTCAAAATCAAGGGGTTGGACAAGATGGCATCAAAAGTTCTACATCTAGGACTGGCTCAAGCAAAGGTGTCATAAACTGACTGGCTAAAGAGATTTGGTAACTGCAGTGCCCTTATTTGACCAGTTCACATGCTTAGGCATATAACCCAGATCCTTCCAAAGACTAAAATGGCACCCAAACCATATCATCAAGCCTCACTGACCCCATATCTGATGACTCCGTTTCCAGGATGATACTGTTGGTCTTATTGTCAATCATGATGTTGGTGATGTCACCCCCATAGAGGCTAGACCTTGGTGTGCTGACACAGCTGGAGATGATGGAGTTCATGGCTGAGGACTGGTTGGAGCCTGGGATGTTCATGGGTGATGGGGTCAGGGACCGCTGCTTGACTACTTGATTCATGTTCCTCACAGCCTCAAAGACGCGCTTCTGATGGCTAGAGAGAAATAAGTACAACTTGTATGAAAGCACAAACAAGCAAGCACCAGTGGGGGCCAGAATCCAGGAAAAATAGCATTTGAGAATATTAACTCAGTCACCTCCAAATATTAATACCAAGCAACTAGCAATTCCAAGCCCTACAAATATTTCCGAGTGCACGGCATTTACAAAGAAGCTCAAAAACCTCTAGCTTCATTTCTAATCCTTCCCAATGAAATTATTTACAGTGTAGCCCTTGGTGGCACAGTGGATAGAGTGTTGAACTTGGAGTTAGGAAGACCCAAGCTCAAATCTGTCCTCAGCCACTAACTAGATGTGTGACCCTGGGCAAGTCGCTCATCTAACTGTTTCTCCATCTGTAAAATGGGACTTATATAGCATCCATTTCCACAGGCTGTTTCAAGGCTCAGATAGGAAATCTGTAAAGCACTTTGCAAACCTGCAAAGTGCTACTTAAATGCTAGCTATCCCTCCTGCTGAAATGAAGACCCTCAATATTGAGTCTGTGCCCAAAGGAAATGCTGCAAAATCCAATAATACCTTGTATTTCTAGACTGTAGCTCAATCAATACATTAAAAAAATGAAGAGACGTGCTGTAGGTCACCCTCCTCCTTTTAGGTTGAGCAGCTTTTCAAGACACTCCAATGCTTTAAGTGAGCAATGTGTCAAAAGAGAGGAACCATGCCAAACGAGGACAGGTATTTCTTAGTGAAGAATTATTTGTTTTTTAATTTGTTTTAAAGGAGAAAAAAAAGAACACTACTTGCATTAAAAGTGACTTTAACAAGCCTATGAAAGAAACCTTGGGCATTCATGCATACCTGTTTATCTAAGCCTCTTTAAATACCTTTCCTTTCCCATAATAATAGCTTTGGAGGGAGCGCTCTTTGTGCAAATGTAGAATTTTCAAATCATCTCCCGTACATTACATTCATTGGTGCCTTAGGACAACCCCATCACAGAGGTCACGCATTGGAAGTTACTACCATATCCCTTTTCTATGCTAGGAAAGTGAGGCTCAGATATGTTAAGGGATTTGGCCAAGGTCACACAGCAAGTGCTGTTTTGGAAATTTTAGTGCATAGGGAAAAAGAGGGGTTCTTCACTTTTGTGTGTGTGTGTCATGGATCCTTTTGACAACCTAGTGAAGGTTAAGGACCCCTTCCTCCTTGTCGGAAGAATATTTTTAAACACTTAAAATAAAAGGATTGCAAAGGAAACATAATATACTGAAATAGTTATCAAAATAAAAAAGAAGTTCATGAAACCCAGGGTAAGAACCCCTCCTCTCCGAGAAGGATATCTTCATGAATACTACATCGATGTATATAGATCTAGTTATAAAAGAAGCAAACTAAGCAACGTGAAGGAGAAAAGGAATATGCCAGCCAGTTTTCATAGAGAAGAAAGTAAAGGGAAAGTCAATTCTGGTCACATCCCTTAAATAACTCCCTCTTATTTTCTCTTTAAAAACATTAAATTAGAAAACCTTGCTTTCCATTTTGCAGCTATGAGCGTTCCTTACTGCCCTCACTCTGGGAGGGAAGCACTGCTGTCAAGCACGGTCTCCCGAGTCGCCATTTCTAATCACTACCAGCTAAAAGTCAACGAGTTGGTCGAGGTGAGCATTAGAAGGAAAGCTGTCGGGTTATTACGTTATGTCAGGAGATTCGGGTTCTTCCATCTGTAGCTCCTTCCGCATCGATCCTTCTATCTCAGCAGCCAAGGAGTCCTGGGCAAAGCCAAAGAAAACTAAATGAATGTTTTTCATTTGAGACAATCCTGTAACTGGCAACTTAATTACCCTCTTGATGGCCCTGGCAAAGACGGGGGTAGCTAGGATGTTACTCATATGATTAGCATGAATAGTATGATTTGGGAGAAACTCAACAAGGGGAAAAAAACCTTTTTTTGGTGGGGAGAGGAGCAGGTAGGAGATGGGACCAAGGATTTCATATGAGTAGAGAGCTCTCGGTGATGAAACTCCTTCTACCAAAGTGGATCGGCAACTGCTCTGCAACTTATAGTCAGAGAGTTTTGATGGGACATTGAGCAGTGAAGTGATTCGTCCAGTGTCACAGACCCAACAGCCATTCCAGGCAAAGCTGGAACCCTGACTCGGAAGCAAGCCTTCTACCCATTAGATCACTCTGCCCATCTCTTAAGCAAACTTAAGAAACAAAAAAATCAAGTGACTTCTTCATGTTCACAAAGCAGATGAAAAGAACCCCCAAGACTGATATAGCCATAGATGAGGAGGTATCCAGGAAATGAGAAGAAATTTGGTAGCAAGTTACTTATTGTTTTGTTTTGAGACAGGGTCCCCCTAGCCTGGATGAGTAGCAGCCACTCACAGGGCCAATACCGCTACTAATCGGCATGGATGTTTTGACCTGCTCCATTTCTGACCTAGGCTGGTTCACCACCATCCCCTTTAGTCAGCCTGGTGTCCTCCCACTCCCCCAAGCTCCTATGGGCTCACCACACTGACGTTGGGAGTTGGTATGGACATCTGATTGGCTTTAAACCCATTGCAGCTCAAAACTCCCGAGATGAAGATCCAGCAGCCTCCTCTTCCCCAGGAGGGATCAGGAGTGTGTACCAACGAGCCCACCAATAGTCAGTTTTAATTAAATTTTCATGGGTTAGTTAACAAGCCTAGCCAAGTGTCACAGACACCACCAAGAATGGGAATTGCAAAGTGTGGAAGATGCAGTGTGTCTGGAAAGATGTCAGTAAAGGATGATAGAGATGGGGTTTTTTTTAAACTTTTATTTTTTAAAAAATTAACTCATCATGTCATATTAAATGACTATACTGCTCTTAGTTATTCTGATATGATAATTTTCAAATGAGATAATATATATAAAGTGTTTTGCAAACCTTAAAGTGCAATATAAATGTTAGCTAATATTATAAGTTCTTTAAAACCTCAAAAGAACCAAGAGTTTTCTGGGCAGGGGCACTCACTCAGCCACTACAGAGAACAACTCATCCATAACATAAGAGATGGTGTTTACCCATGAGTTGCTGTGGCCAAAGAGAAAACTGCCCACCTGGTGGCAGACCTTCCAGTGATAAGCCTCTCCCCAAAGTTAGCTCTGCTGGTCCTCAAACAACAAACCATCACTGGGCCTGCAAGGAAAAGCTTTCTAGGTTGATAAACACCTACCAAAGCTGGCGGCCCACTGGCACATCCTCTGGGAGGAACAGGGCTTCTTATAATACGTGAAAAAGATATATCCAGGCTGTCTGTTCAAGTATAAAGCAGCTAGCCTGACTGCTCAGAACCAGAAGCAGCTCTGTCTCCCAGAACTAATTCTCCCTAGCCAAAGGTTTCTGCCAGAAAGCAATAAAATAATTAGCCCAGACTGTATTTCTCTAACATTTGGCACCTGGCAAGTTCTTCCTACTTCCAAAAGGGCTCTTTGGTTTTATCTTAAAGAGCATGCTGCGTCTTATAAACAAGGGAATTGGCTGCTGAAAGAGGATGTTGGAAAAGACACAAAATGGCATCTATTAATCAAATCTGTTATCAGTGTTCTCACAAGGATAATCACCTCTGTGACCTGACCAGAGTGAAGAATGTTCCCTTGCACAACTCACGATGTCCACAAGTGAATTCAATAAATTTCCCACCTCTTCCAAACTTATTACAGTTGAGGGCACCACCATCCTCCCAATCTCCCCAAACTGGAAACCTAGAAGTCCTTCTGGACTCACTATCTCCCACTCCCCCTACCCACCCAATAGCCAATCTGTTACCAAGTCCTGTCTTTTCTACTTCTGAATATCTCTCATATACATCATCCTCTTCTCTTCTCTGGCCCTGCTGCCATCTTGGTATGGGCCCCTATCACTCCTCTCCAGTGGCTTCCTTACTGTTCCTTGCCCAAGACTCTCTATCTCCTAACTCTGCTCTTTCATTAATGACTGCCCTGCATGTCTGGAATTCTCTTCTTTCTCAACTATGCCTCAGGCTTCCTTCAGGTCTCAGCTGAAATTGCACCTTATGTAAGAAAGTCCTTCTTAATGTTAGTGCCTTCCCTCTTTGATTATCTCCAATTTATCTTGGATATATTTTGTCTCTACATAGCTGTCTGCATGTTTTCTCCTCCATTAGACCGTGAGCTCCTTGACAACACAAACTGTCTTTTGCCTCTCTTTGCATCTCTGGCACTTGGCACAGAGCCTGGCACACAGCAGGCACTTAATATTTGCTGACTTGACATATGTCTTCTCCCCTCTGTGCCTGTGTTCATGCTATCCTCCCGTACAAGTCACAAGTGAAGTGACTTGCCCAAAGTCACACAGAGTTTGTCTGAGGTAACACTTGAACTCAGGTTCTCCTAGTTCCAAGACTAGCTCTCCTTCCACTCCACCAAGCTGCCCTGCTGTCATGTTAGTTTTATTTAATGAGACAGTAAGCTTCTCAAAGCAGGAAGTATATCATGTCCCTTCTGTACATCCAATAGTGTAATGGTATGCAAAGAGCTGGTTTCCAAGAAATAGCTGTGATTTTATCCTTCCATGGGGCAGCTAGGTGGCGCCATAGTGAACAGAGTGCTGGAGTCAGGAAGACTCATCTTCCTGAGTTCAAATCTGGCCTCAGACATTTACTACCTGTGTGACCCAGGGCAAGTCACTTTATCCTGTTTGCCTCAGTTTCTTTATCTGTAAAATGAGCTAGAAAAGGAAATGGCAAACCACTCCAGTATCTTTGCCAAGAAAATCCCAAATGGGGTCATGAAAAATCATATAAGAGTGAAACAACTGAAAAACAGCAACTATCCTTTCATCTCTCATATTCAGTACTCAATGCAGGTCAGCCCCAGGACTGAGGAGTGTTCCTGCCTACTTATAACTAACTTAAGGTCAATACTCTCCTATGTATGCTTTAAGATATTAACTTGAAGAAAAATACCTGTTTTCAGTCATACAAAGTAGTGTGGGCCCACAAATTTCAAGCCCTGAAATAAATGAGACCAGAACTAAAAGCAGTAAGATGGTAAGAAGTCACTTCAGAGTGCCAAAGATGGAAGGCCATTTACTTTACACTACACCTGACCTGGAATTCTCCGGACAATATCCCTGACAAGAAGTCAGCTAACCATTTCTTGAAGACCTTTAGTGAAGAGGAATTCGTTACTTCCCCAGGAGGCCCATTCCACTTTTAGATGGCTCTTTTAATCTTTTCCCGCCTGACAGCAAGTATAAATCTTTGAAACTTTCACTTAGTTCTGTTTTCCAAGGGGGAAAATATGACATATCTATTCTCATTTCCAAATATGCGAAGAGAGCTGTCATGCCTCCTCTTCTCTCAGCTAAACAGGCTTAAGTTCCTTCAACCAAGTCTCATCTGGCATAAGCTCAGGACCCTGTGCCTGAAAACAGAGGGGTAGGGATTAGTCCCACGATTTCACTAGTATTGGGAATTCCCAGGTGAGGACATTCCCTCTATCAATGCAGGTTGCTACCTGTTCTCTAACGTATAGTCTTAGAGAGTTGCCTAGAGCACAGAGAAGTTAAATAACTTGTCCCCAAGGTCAGATAGCCAGTATATGCCAGAGGCAGAAACTGAACACAGATTTCTTTGGCTTCAAGGCAAATAATACTATCCACTATGCCATGTTCTCTTTGTTCATTTTACATAAGAATAAAAAATATAAACTAACACATGCTGGGGTTTTGTTTTGTTTTTTTTTCTTTCCCTAGATCCCTGACCCTGCATGAAAATTAGAGCCATCATTATTAGAACTGATAAATACCCAAGAGAGTAGTAAAAATTTCTAGGCTACTTATAACACTTTTTTCTAAGTACCCAAAAGCACTTTACCCTATTAACATCAGGCCAAGTAACCAAAAAGTGCTGAATCTGCAAGGGTTTTCCATTCCCTTTTAATTAAATCAGAAGTGGTACAGTGGAGATAATAGATGGCAACCCTAAGGAAGAAGTACAATCAGTCTTTCTTAGCCAATTAATAAGAAGCCCCCAGCTATGCCCAGATGTGACTCATACACAGCAAACTTTTATCTCCAGCCTCCATAAACTTGTTTTCCTTTGGGTGGCAAAGTCCAGGGAGAAGTCCAAAAAGGCTAAAGCTTAACTCGGGCCTCCTAGGATCACAGATCCTGTATGTTCTTTTTTACCCCAAGGGAACAGATTTGGGAAATATTCTCTCCTACAAGGACATTTAAACTCTGGCAAAGGTCAGGCAACTTTTAGGCCATCTGGAGCCCAAGTCAACATAAATGCCTTCTATTCACCAAAGGGATTTCTCATGCCCTCCTTAGGAGAACCCTGAAGTGTGGTGGTGTTTAAAAAAACAAAAAGCCTGCTACATGTCCCAGTTTAGTCCAGATGCTGCTTACCATGGGAAAGAGGCCCAGGGAGTGATAACGTCGGGAGATGGTATTTGGCATGGATTTGTTGCGGAGGTTTTTCAGCTCTTCCTGCGCCTCATGAAGCATTTCCATGCACTCTGCATACTTGTCCTCCAGCTCCCGCAGCTGTAAGAAATCCAGAAAGATCCCAGAAGATTAGTGCATCCTCTTGGAGCAAACATTCCAGAAACAGATGTTCCAAAGCTACAGCTACATTCCCCCAATAAGGAGACCAGCATAAAAAACATGTCAAAGACGGGGACACACCTAACTGGTCCTCTGCAGAACTGAGCCCAATTACCCCCAAAGTCTCCCTTCCCTGAAAATCCTTTTATTTTTCCATTTATTATCTTCTGGGACAATTAGGAAGATTACAAAAATACCACCTAAAAAATTACCACCAACAAATAAGGTTGAATTATCTTTAAAGGGGATAGGATGACAATGTTTATAAATTAAAAAATTTTTTAACTTTCTAATTTTAACTTAATTTAATCTTAATTTAAGTCACACGACTGTAAATGAGGCCTGACTTAAATGGCTCTTATGGAGTAAGAGAGAGAGGTATTATAGCTGGGCATAAAATCAAACCAAGGATCGTAAATTACTTAATGACCTAAAAGAAACTTCTAAGGAAGAAGTGGTTGCCAAAATAAATAGAAAGACTAAGACACAAAAAAGTGAACAAACTCCAACCCCAACTGACATGAAGCTACCGCCTGTACCTCGGCTGTAAGCTGTCTCTGGGCATCTTTAGCGGCCCCCAAGTGTTGGACAAGCTCCTCATTTTCAACAGCACACTGAAACACAGTAAAGAAAATGTATTTTCAAAGTTAAGGTGCAGTTCCTATTAGATTATGATCTCCTTGAGGGCAGGCATGATCTTTTGCCTCTTTTCGTATCCCCAAGGCTCAGTTGTACAGTGCCTGGTATATTGTAAGAGCTTAATAAAGAACTTATTGGTTGATCAACTCTTCATTTTCTTCTCAATCTCTTACAACTCTCTTCTCTAGGAAAAGGAAAATTATCTCATTTGTTAAGGATTTTTTTCCTAATGTGAAATTCAAAGCACCTTCTTTCCTAATTCTATGAAATAAAAATCCATACCCTTTATCTACCCTCAAGACAGAACAAAGAGCAGCTCCTGGGTAGTACCAAAGTGAATCTATCAAAGGCACCAAGGGAATCACAAGAAACCCTTACCGGCCCTGAAGTCAGGAGGACCTGAGTTCAAATCCGGCCTCAGACCAAACACTTGACACTTACTAGCTGTGTGACCATGGGCAAGTCACTTAACCCCAATTGCCTTAAAAAAAAAAATGAAAAACAAGAAACCCTTAATTATTTTTGTTGCTTCAGATTTAGTTTCCGTCAACTAATAAGTATTATGTACTCACTATGTACCTGACACTGTGGGATACTAAGATATATATACCCACATATATATATATATATACATATACAGATAAATATGTAGGTGTATGTATGATATGAAACAGTCCCAGCTCTTGAGAGGTTCACTTTCTATCAGAGGACAATGTAAAAATGGTTGTCTTCTTTTATAAAATATCCCTTAGTGACCGTAGAAAGGCCAAATACTCTCTGGATGAAGCATGAGTAGAAGGACCCAGTGTACCATTCCCTGAGTTTATTTGTTCCCACTGAACCAATGTCTTTTATAAGATCTTGCATCTATATCAAATACTGCAAGTTAATAATAGAAAAAGAATACTGAAAGCAAAGGATAGTATTTTACCCTTTGGACAGTTTATATTTGCTGCACTCATTCCAATGGAATGTTATTAGATCTTCCTTGGAGGCCCAATGAGAGGGTTTTTGGGTTCATTAACCTAAAGGTGGAAGGGTCCTTAGAGGTCTTGTCCAATCTACTCATTTTGCAACTGAGGAAAAAATGAAGCCCACAGAGGTTTCAATTTGCCTGTGACCACATCTAAGTGTCAGAGGGCATGGAGAAGAATAGGACAAAACACAAAGGTGAGGGTGAGCCGGGACCTGTACTCCCAGAGGAAACCTGCCTATTAATGAGATTACCGAGTCACCTGAGCACTCAGGTAAATCCTATGGCTTAAGAGAAACACCAGCTATTCCAGTCAGAAGAGACTTCTGATGGTATCTAATACAATGTGGACCTTTACAGGGGCATCCCCTTTGGTCGGCTCTCCTCTGTACTGAAGCTGCCCATTCTACTTTCAGACAGCTCTAACTACTAGAAAACCTTTCCACACATCAAGCCTAAATGTGTATCTCTGAAGCCTCTGCCCTTCTGCCCAACTCCTTTCACAAATGATGATTTGTTCTCTTAATAGTCTAATGAGACACAACACACATTCGTATCTCTAGAGTTAGTCAACATGACAGTCTCTATTCAGCATGACAGGACAAGGGAAGCAACGTGGACCGGGAAAAGACCATTAAAATAAAGCCAAGGGCTGCGCAATTATAACACCCAATCTGGCTCAAGAAAAGCACCCTAGTCCTGCAGAGGCAGGAGATTTGGGGTACAGAATAAGATATACAGTGCAAGATGTTGACAGTCACTGCATTGGTTGCTTTTACTCAGCTGTTTTCCGTATTTCTTAATTATAAGGGAAGGGTCACTGAGTGGCCATGGGGATATCTGGAAATGAATTCAACGTAAAGACAAAAGGTATCAATAATTTTTTTCTTCTTTTTTTAAAAGGACATTGGCTCTGAAGTCAGAGGAGCTGGTTTTGAATCTTAGGCTCTACTTACTAGCTGGGTAACTTTGGGCAAGTCATTCTCTGGGCCTCAGTTCTTCATCTGTAAAATGGAAGTGTTGGACTAAAGGCTCTCTAAGTGGTCTTCCAGTTCTAAATCCTGAGACTACTGATTTCTATTGTGTGCTTTCTACGGAGCTGTCACAAAAAGCTTACTGCCATTTTATACTTTAGTCACTTTTTCTCCAAAGGAGTAGAGCAATATGGAAAGACCACTGGTCCTGGAGTTGAAAGATCTGGCTTCGGATCCTACCTCTGATGCTTACTACCTGTGTAAGTTTGTGGCCAAGTCCCTTAATCTCCTGGGGCCTCAGTTTCCTCAATGTTAAAAATGAGAGAGTTAGATTGGATGGTCTGTGAGGTCCCTTCCAGGTAGGATCCTAAGAAGACATCTAGAAAATATAAAACTAAGTCGCCTCATGCCCCAGGGCCGTCACTCTATGAGAAATGAATGGAACCCCGAGATCTTACAGCCTTGGCCTTCTTCTGCAGATCGACTATTTGAGAGAGAAGATGGGTGATCTCTTCTTGCTGCCGGGACGCGTCTTCAGTCTTTTTGGCCAACTCTTCCGAGATACTGGCGATCTGGACATTGGCATCCCCTGAGAGAGATCACACAAGGACAACGGCAGAGAGAGGTCAGAACAGCTCCCTGTGATGGAGCTGGCCACGGTAAGGGATTTTCACACCACTCCACAGTACAGAAGTTTCTCACTAAGAACCAAGATAATACTTTTATCTTAATTGTTCCTTTCTTTGCACTTTTCAGAAATGACCATCTTTACATTACACACTCAGAAGGTTGGCAAAGAACACACTGATCACACCTGTTATATTACAGGTTGGAAAGCTGGCCCATGGGAATGGGAAATTAACTGGTTTGTTTATGTTCCAAAGGACAAGAACCCAGGTGCTCGTCCACCGTTCTATACATTCAAATGAACTCCGAGAGTAAAAATGAAAACCAGGGCATTGTACTAACAAGGACGCTTAGCCAGGAGGCAAATAACCCCTAGCATTTACACTATGCTTTTAAGTTTGCAAAGTGCTTTACATATGTTACCTCATTTGATCCCTACAACAACCCTGGGAGGTAGGAGCTATTCTTATTATCCTCATTTTACAGATAAGGAAACTGAGGCAGGCAGTGATTAGGTGACTTGTCCAGGGTCATATAGCTAGTATCTGAGACAGGATTCTAACTGAGGTCTTCCTGACTTCAAATCCAATGCTGTGTCATAAAGAATATGTGAAAGACAGCATGCTGCGTTGTGGTTGTTTCTGTTCGGTTGTTTTTAGTCACGTTCGACTCATTTAGGGTTTTCTGGAGTGGTTTGCCATTTCGTTCTCCAGCTCATTTTACAGATGAGGAAACCGAGGCAAACAAGGTTAAGTGACTTTCCCAGGGTCACAGGGACACAGACCTAAGTGTCTCAGGCCAGATTTGAACTTGGGTAAATGAGTCGTCTTGACTCCAGGCCCAGCACTCTATCCACTGCACCATCTAGCTACCCCAGCACAGTGCAGCAGAAAGGAAACTGGCCTGTGAAACAGGGATCCATGGCTTTACTTATAATTTTGCCACTAACTAGCTGTCTGAGCTTGTCATACTGCCCCAAATGAACCTACCATAATTCTTACAAAATCATAGAGTGGGACAGGACCTGGCAAGTCGCCAAACTCATCTCGCTCATCCTATAGCTAAGGACACTAAGGATCAGAGACGGTAAGTCATGTGCCCAGGGTCACACAGCTAAGTGTCTGAATTCAACTCATCCCAACTTCAAGTCCATTACTCCACCAACTATAGCATCTGACCAACTCATTTCAGTCACTTCACTTTCTACCATCAAAATCTCTAACAACACACACCCATATAGAATTTCAAGATTTATGGGACCCTCAAGAGGAACCACATTCATTAAAAGGCCCTACTTTTTAAATTCACTTTGAAACCACAATGTAATAAGAAGGGAGAAGGAGGAAGAAGAGAGAAAGAAAAGAAGGAAGAGAAAGAATAAAAGGAGGAAGACAAGAAGAAGGTAAACTTACTAGCCATGTGACTCTGGGCAAATTGTTTAACCTTGTTTGCCTCAGTTTCCTCAACCATAAAATGGGGAGCATAATAGCACTTACTGTCAGGATGGTTATAAGAATCAAATGAGATATGTGTAAAGCACTTAGCAGAGTGCCTGGTAATGGTAGCTATTATGATTATCATTATCATCTTTATTATTATTACATCTAATGAGGACTAAGAAATTTCCCAGGGGTCTTTAAAATCTATATAAAAAGCCATGCTTTCTAGTCATCAGACATGGGTAGGGCCTTTTACACATTCATTTAGTATATTGCTAATCTACACGCTCTGCTAACTTTCTTATCTAATTGTGGAAACTTGTGAAAATAGAAGTTAATGTCATATTTGTTTTTCAAGGGTAAAAGGTCTGACATGTTCCAAAGTAAATCGCTTGTAAGGACAGTTTTCACACATTTTTGTAGGGAGGTCCCTTTGCAACTTATTGTACCCTTATTCCATGTGACCACTCAAAGTTTCTAGAAGAAAGACGAGACTGTAATTAAATAAGAGAGAAATAAAGGACAGTAGAACTGATCAGTTAACATATACTCACTCATTCACCTCTCACAAATTCTCCATAAGTAATTATCAGAAACAAGGAAATTAACAGACTTCCTTTCTTATTATTTTTTAAGACTATTCTCCAAGGAAATGGGCAAATAACAATGTGCTTTACCAATGGAAGCAGAAGGCAACGAGGAGATGCAAAGGGAAAATGTCTGGTTTGATGTATTAAGTATGTCACTGAATAGGGTGGTGGTGGATGCCAAGGGGGAAGGGATAGGGTGGAGAAAAATACATACTCAGCTCTTTGACACAATCATTAACAAGTTGTTGCTCCTTTTCCTCGTAAGTGATTGTTTCGGTCTTCAGTTGACAGGCCTGCACAAAATGGAATCACATATCCCATGGTTATGACGACTTAGCTGCTCACTCTTATGTAGTCTGGGGGGCTGTTTGAGCAAACCTCTGGCTGCCATCTTTAGCACGTCTCTACCTATGGATCCCTCTCCATTAAAGAGCCAGCAAAGTCCCTCTCTTTCCCCTACCAAAGGTGAATGCATCACAAAGGCACTTTTACTAAATACAGAACAGATAATGAAATTGTACCACAAGGAGTCAACACAATGATGAAAAGGATAGAAGTTAAAAGGAAGCTTTGAGGTCATCCAATCCATCCAGCTTCACTTAGAGATGAGGGGACTGAGGTCAGGAGAGCAATGAGCAACTCGCTCAAGGTCATATACCTATTAAGTGGTAGAGCTGCTTATTACAATGTACCAAGGGAATGGGAGAGATAACCTAGTTAGACAGTCTCATCTCACATACGTACATTTATTGAAATTAGACACAATTCAGATCTGTAAAAATCTATAGGCAGGAGAAATTATGTCTCATGACACTTCTCCTTGAGGGCAGGGACTATTTCCTTTTTGTTTTTGCCTCTCTGGCACCCAATGGTGGCTGGCGCATAGTAGGTGTTTATGAATGCTTACTGACTGGCAGGCTAGATTGAAAATTCTTGGTGACATGATCAACATGAAATCTGCACTCAATTCTAGCCATTTCTCCTCAAACATTAGGAGGGAAAAGCCACCACTGAACTTGCCCTAATGGCTTTGGCCACAATCTTTTCCACTATACTTTGTTTTGTTACTGCTCTCTTCTTGTCATATTATAATATAGTATATATTAAAAGTCTAGTAATGTTATATATTATGTTACATTATATCATCATCACAGCATATTTCTCATATTATAGTATATATTAAAATATCACAGTAATATACTTCGTATTATGTTATATTACATATCATCATAGTGCTCTGTACTTGTCATACTACAATATGATAACATAATGTATAAAATTATATTATAGTGCTCTGTAGCTGTCATATTACATTATTCATTCCTCTCCAGGTGTACTATTGATTCATCTCCACAGGACTTTCTCCACTCTTTGTCTATCCTTTCCTCCTTCCTCCTCTCACCTCTACTTTTCAGCTCCCTTTTATGGCCTTCCCCCATTAGCACATGAGCTTTGTGAGAATAGCCATGGTCCCTTTCTGCTTAGATTCACAGCATTTAGCAGAGTAATTGCTCAATAAATCCATGTTAACTTGACTTATGTGTTATAATCATTTGTATTTCTCTCTCCTATTAAATTCCAAACTCCTTAAAATTTGATAAAAGTTGGTATTTTTAAAAGATTCATTTTTGCTTGTTTTTATGCCAAACATCTAAGAGGTAATAGAAGAATGTTTGTAGAACTGGCCTTTCCCTCCACTAAGAAATGAATATGCTTTCTACCAGTTGATGAGGAAAGTGACCTTGAGTTTATGACTCATGCCAGAACCTATTGTAGTTACTCTCTCCTGGAATTGCATGTGATTTGTTTTTTATTAATATTTCATAGGATGATTTTTTTATATGGGCACCATTTTGTATATCTATATTGGTATGTGTATGTAAATTGATTTCATATTTATGTTGTACATAATTTTGTATGGACTTCTTGCCTCCCTCATTGTGAGTAGGGATCAATTTCCTTCTTTGTACTCATATCCAAAAATCCTAGCTGAGTACCTGGCACCTAGTAGGCTCTTAATAAGTACTTCACCAACTGATTGCCCAGAGGTGCATATCACAACCCTCCTGTACTTTCGCATGGGGTCCAACTTCATTAGTTTCTGTGGGTGGAAAAACTCATCACCTGGTAGCAACCTTGTGGTGATGAGTCTCTCTGAACTTACCTGGGTAACCCTAGCAAACTGTCTCAACCTCTCAACCTCAGATTTTTTATCTATAAAATAGAGATAACAATACCTGCTTTTGCTGTCTTACAAGGTTGTTTTAAGTATCAAAAGAGATAATGGGTGGAAAGTGCCTTATACATTGTAAAACATCAAATAGCACAATCCAATCAGCATTTAGTAAACAGCTACTATGTGTGAAGTACACATGTGGATGGCATCCTGCCATAGTAGATAGAAGAGCCAGCCTCTTACTCAAGAAGACTTGGGTCTAAGACCCTTTTCTAATACATACTGTCTGTGTGAACCTCGGAAAATCACTCAATCTCTCGGTACCCCTAAGAAACACTAAGATTATAAACTGCAAAATAACTGCCAATGAAGAAGTCATTTCTTCACTGGGCTCTCTCATTAGGAAAAAAAAAAAGCAAAGTACCATATTAGGCACTGGGGATGTGAAGACAAAAATTTAAAAAAAAAAAAATCACTCCCACAGTCCATACCACCAAGGAACCTACTTTCTACTGGTTGGGATGGGAGGGAGGGGTACCATATACACAAGGGAATCTGAGGAAGGAGATTGTCATAACAAATCAGGGGATCAGGAAAGGCTTCCTGTAAGAGGTGTCAGGGATTATTAGCAAGGTTGCTCCCTGAACAAAAATCACATGGCCTAGTCTATCACTCAGTTACAACTCAGAGCCTTTCTGGTTACACAGGATTGGCAAGAATTTGTGGTCTATCAACACAGCTTTCAAGAACCTGGGGGCACCTCCACACTACAATGATTCTGGGATTAACAGACCAGACAAATAACAGATGACATTATTAGTGACGTATTTAAGGTGACTAATTATCCTTAGTCATATTTAGATGACTTTCTGAGATCTGGTTTAGTGGCTATGTACAGTATTTGCTCTCCCAAGATAAGGAAAGTAGAGCCTTTTCAAAAAGAGATAAGGGGAGGGAAGACTTCACCTCTGATCTAAGTACAACATTCTCTTCTTCAAGGTCTTTTAGTTTCTTTTGAAGAGAATCCAGATGAAAATAATTCTGGACGGAGGATGAAGATTCATTTCTCTTCAACCTGGTTAGAAAAAAAGAAATAATGGAATGTCACTGCACTGTGATAGTCAGTGAAAATGATGACTACAGAGAAGCATGGAAGACTTACACAAACTGATTCCAAATAAAGAAAGCAAAATCAGGAAAACAATCTACATAATGAATATAACCACAAAACAATGAAGCTTCATCATAGACCAACTGTAGACCAAGACTAACCTTGGCCTCAAGTAAGTAACAGAAGAAGGTACCTCCCCTAACTTCTTTGCCAAGGTGGGGGACCAGAGGTGTGCAACAGTTAATATGCCAGGTTTTTTTCTGGGAGATATTGCCTAGTTTTTTTTCTTGTTTTTATTTTTATTTTTTACTTTTTTTATTGCTGAAATTTAAATACACAATAAGGGAAAAAAAGAAACATATTGCTAATTTTGCTGAACTGTTTTTCCCTCTCTTTTTTATTCTTTGTTAGGGGAGATGGTTCTGTGATGGTGAGGTAGGGAAGTAGTGATACAAAAGATAGCAGCCAAAATTTATTTGAAGATGAAATCATGACAAGTTATTGGGAAAAGGGGGGTGGTGTTAATTTGCTGTCCACCTACATTTCTTTCCACTATCTTAGCAAACAGCAAAGGAAGGTTCTACCAATGAAAAGCTAAAGGGGACAAGCATTTATTAAGAATCTACTACCTACCAGGCACTGTGCCTTTACAAATATTATCTCAAGAAATCTTCAGGTATAAAAATAACCATTCCTTTATTCCTCATAAATCAATACAATCTTTACTTACAGGTTTGTAAATACTTAAGCCTCCCTCCTTCCTCTAAGTATAATTGAACTGGGCTTCACCAATATAGCTAATGCCCTGAGACTCCCACAACCTGAAGCAAGTAGCTCAGCAGTTATCAAGAGCTTGGATGCCAAGAGATCAGGTGGACAAATGAGAAATCCGACTGTGGTCCTGAGGGATAACCATGACATCTTTATGCTGCCTCACAACATGGCCATTTCTAGAATCTAACTATTTAGCCCCAGGTGCCATTCACTCCTGGGCTAGGTTTGCTCATTTTATTTTCAAGGACTACTCCACGTTGGAGAGGAAACATGGAATTGTGCATTGAATAAAGAGCTGGCTTTGACATCCATGAGACACCTATTGGCTGTGTGACCATCAACATGTCCATTAACGTCTCAAAATGCTCTCTAAGACTCTAAGTTGAGGAACAGGAGCTTATCCGCAGTGGTAGACATTTTCCCCACTTAAAGTTTCCAAGTTCTAGTACAAAAGTCCAAATCCATATTTTAAATTTCTACTTAAAAATACTCTATATCCTAGAGAAAAGAAACAAACATCTATTGTATAGCCTTAATTCTATATCCCCCAGCCCTAATATCAAATCAGTCCAAGCACAAAATCATAAATAGGGCTTTCACAGATTATCCAGTCCAGCCCCCTCATCTTACAGATAAGGAAACTGAGGCCCAGAGAGAGGGGCTCAGCAGGTATAGCATTTAAACCTAGATTCTGTGACTAGATGTTCAGACCAAGCGACCACCATTAATCCCTCACTCCGAAATAGCCCTTTTATTAATGTATTTGATTTCACCCCCTGCTCCCCTCAAAGTATCAAAGGTAAACTGTCGGCTTTGTGTTTCAGAGCCAGGATGCTGACTTACGGTGTTGAGCAGACAGACTCAGGCTCACTCTCTTCAGCAGCACTGGTGTAGAACTGAAGCAGTTCATCCTTCATGGACAATTCATGACGCAATTGAGACACCTGAATAGACAGCAGTGCGACAGGTTTCACTCAGTTTGCAGGAGAGGCGCAGATCCCAAAGATACTCAAATTCCCCATACTATCCCAAACCTCCCCAGTAGTCATTAAACATTGGTTGAAACCAATAGTCTTATCTCCATACAACTGACCCACTACTTAATATGTGCTCCTCCCTATAATAAGCATTGGGACACACAGAAAAAGCAGAAACAGTCCCTGCCCTCAAGAAGCTTCCATTCCAATGGCAGAAGCTATGATATAAGTATAGGTATCTCTTCCACATAATGGGGGTTAGGAATGCAGCGTCCCTGTGATCTGGAAAATCCATGCAAAATTTTTGGCCCTCCTTTAGTATCAGAGAAGAAGTCTGAATTATTCTGGTATTAAAAGATAAAACATGTTAATATTACACAATACTATACATATATTTTATGCATTTCTGAGTTTCTAAACTTTTTCTTTGTCATCTGCTGGCCTTCCATGTCATCTGTGGCTTCCGCAAAAATTCCCAAAAATTCCCATTTAATTTCTTATGCCAACCCACGATATACAGAAACCACAATGGGGAAAGTTGCAATGTGAAAGGGATAACTGTAGATATATTCAAGATAGATACACAGTAAATGTAAGGTAGCCTCTAAGAGGAAGGTTCTAATGGCTGGGGGGAGCAGGAAAGGCCTTCATCAGGGGTACAGACAAGCCACAAATGCCTCCTCATCTCTATTTTAAGAAATGACTAATTTCATGGAGAGAAAGATGATCTTATTTAAGAAACACCAAAGTGCCTTTCACCTGAGTTTATTTTTGCTTATGTTAATAAGATTGGGAAGGGGCATAAAAGGGCAATAGGAGATTTTGACATACAGTTAGGTCCTAATTAGTGTGAATAAGTAATTCTTGAAGTGGCTGATGTGTTTGAATTCACAGCATCTGAAGTTGTAATTATGCAAAATATGATCGCTATTTCCAGCCCAGTGGAAAGAAGGAGGGCAAATTCAATAATGTGATCACATGAGAGTGTGGGCAGGGTTGAAAATACACCACTGGCTAATCAAGCCATCTATAAGCACTCATTAAGTGACTACTGTGTACTAGATATTTGCCTAAGAGGTGCTGTAGATATACATGCAAAGCTGAGAAGGTCTATGACCTCAAGGTGATTATGTTGTATTATAATATTGGACTATAACATATGGGACTTTTCCTAGGCATTTCCTTAGGTGCTGTCGGTTGGTTGGCTGTTGTCCTTTGTTCTCAATGAGGACCAAAATAGCATCACTATGTTGGGGTCAAGGTATAGTGTGTCCAACTGCGGCTCATCAGACCAACACGAGCTCAGAGGGTTCTACCACAGGTTGTGCACAAATAATCCACGTGAACACTTGGAGTGGAGATGTCTCTAAATTTGCAAATCCCATGTTTCTTTTGAGCTACTGCAATTCTTCTTAAGCACTGTATAGAATGCAAAGGTGAGGAAGTCTCTGCCCTCGAGCAGCTTCCATTCTACCATAGCATCATAATATCCAGCCATGTATCTGGAGCCTTCCATTCCTGATGGTCTTACCTCTTCCCGGATATGATCTACTTGTTCCTCAAGCAGCTCATTCCTCTCCGTTAGAGTTTTGTTCTTCTTCAACAGCGACTGGCCAATCCGAGCAGCTAACTCTAAATCCCGCTCTTTCTGTCAGAGACAAAAGGGAAAGAGAGGTGATGCAACACCCTTCCCCTCACTGAGTCACCAGCACTGAATCCTCCCAAAGTCCTTCCCTCCTCCCACCCCCGAATAGATTTTTGTGAAAGCACAGGGGGGAAAATCCTATATTAAAATAGTAACTGATTATTCACTGTTCATTTCTATTATTTAATACCCCTCAAATAGATCCCTACACATAATACAGAAAAGCTGTCATCTATCTGTCTACCTGAGGCATAAAAAATGAAAGGGAGGTCTTGAGATCAATTGGAAAATCTATTTTTGTTCCTAAGGATTAGATTTCTGTTAATAACTTTTATGGGGGTGACACCTTTCACCCCCTTTTTTTTCCTCGAACAAATCCAAAATGTTCCAGTAAGAGAGCCAAGCTCTGATAATAAGGATACAAGGAGCATGTTATACTAAGATTTTTTTCTATACAGTTCTGACTATATTCTTTATTCTTTGGAACTGAAATGTCTACAGGGAACCTAAGAATTTTTTTTTCAACTGCAAGTCATTAGACTTTATGAATTTCAGGAAATGTTTAAAATGAGGAGAACATAAAAATCTCAATTTCCAATAAATGATTAGGCTACAATATCAGTTCAAACAAAAATTGTTAAGAATATACTATTACATTTCTGAGGTTCTCGTGGCCATTTGGAGCCCAAGAGAATGCAAAGGAATATATTTAATTTTATAAAGTCACCAGGCTACCATTAAATCAAGCAGCTCCTGGATACTAATGTCCAGTTGACGGATACCATTACAGAAGGGAATTCAGGCCCCACAAATCACATCTGCATTCTAGAAACAATGTGGGTTCTAAAGGCTGGACTCAGTAGAATCAATCATTCAACAATCATTTATTAAATCCTTATAATATATCAGGGAAACAACAAAATGCAAAGCAGTCCTTGCCCTCAAGGCTCTTACATTCTAATGGCAGAGACAACAGATACATAAATCGGTACATATGCAGTAAACACAGAAAAGAGGTGTGGGGGCCTTAGAAGTTAGGAGGCAATAAACTAGGAGAGTTAAATTGACAAAGCTCCTGGGAACTCTGCTTCCTTAGTCTATGTGGCACAAAGGTTTAATGATCCATCACTCTCTGTCCTTGGTCACAAAAAACGGGGGCCACCTGAAGCGATGTCTTCTCCTCGGATGACTTTTTCTTACAATCCAAGCACATCTGTATCTCGCCTGTCTTGATAGGTTTATCTTTATTGGTTGCATTATTTATCACAAAGGACCCTTGACTGAAATGTTTCTTCATCTGCTTCTGATGTTGCTTTTCAGAGTCTAGACCTCTGGGCATCTTGTACTTAGTAATACTATCCAAATTGAATCTGTGAGTGAATTCAAGCTCCGGCCAATCCATTAGCCTACCAACCATTTGAGTATCATTTAAGGGGCCAGCACTGGCTAACCTTTGGTGAATACCTAAGGTGCAGAATTCCATTTCCTGAGGCGGATGTGCACCTCCTAGATCAACTTCAAGGCAGCAACACATCAAACATTTCTACCCTACTGGGAATTTGGCATGATAGGGTTGTGACATAAAAACAGCACAAAGTAGATGCATATGGATGGTCTCACTGGTTCCTCTAATGAGTGAAATGGGAAGCACCTTTTCTGTACGTGAGTATCCCCAGCACATAGCACAGTGACCGCACATAGTAGGTCCTTAGTAAATACTTATTGATTGATTTGATGAGGAAATAGCATCAACAGAATTCACCAGCTTACCCAGGATCCATTAGACCCATTTAGTGGCAGATCTGTCACCTACTATGGGTCAAGTGTGGGGGATATAAACACAAAAAAATCCCTGACCTCTCTGAGGTATAGTACATTCTACTGTATCAACATATTTGCCTTAAAATGTAAGTTCCTTAAGGTCTCCTCTCTTTAATTTAAAGAATAAATACAGTCCATTGATGATAATGAGTTTAAGGCTATACATCCTAGCTCAGCCAGAGCAATAAAATTGTATCAGGAAGGAAAAAAAAATCATGGCTTCTCCAATCCAAGAGAAATGGCAAAAAGAAATGGGGAAGTAGAGGCAAAGAGTTTTTTAGAAGAGGAAATGTTCGTGTGAGGGCTCAGACAGCAAACCAAAGTGCCCATTCCCAAAGGGAATGGTGTGGCCTTTGGTCTGAGCTCTCAGCTGCAGTAAGCCCTCTTTCTAACACCTGTAAATAGAGATTAAATGAATGATAAAAATGTTTATATCTAATTTGAAAAGGGGAAGGGGACCTAAGCCTGATGAGAAATAAATCCCTAAGAAAAGTTGCATTATAGTCTCTTAAGTTCTACTGAGATAAAAAAAAAAAGCTGCTTTGACCTTCCCTAATAAAATATGGGGGAAAGTGAGAAAGAAGTACAAGAAAAAGGAATTTTTCCTCTTTCTTACAACTACCTAACATGATTAGTACTCATTTCTTCAAAAATAAATAAATAAATAAATGAAGGGGGAGGAGACAGATCTTCCAGGAAATTATTTGTGTATTAAATTATAATGCAAATGAGACAATAGGATATTATGAAAAAGGGGAAGAGGTATTTTTAATTCTGAGAAACACATGAAATGCTACATTATTAGCCTATAATTTACAGTTTCCTGCAGTTGCTTTTATTTTAAGTTGCTATAGCTGAGCAAAGTGATGAATCCCACCGGAGTGGGAAACACACAGAGTACTACAAAATTGACAAAGCACTTTCCTCCAAAAACTATGTCAAGTCGTGAGGTGTGCCAGCATCATCCCCACTTTATAGATGAGGAAACTGAGGCTCAGAAAGGTTAAGTGATCTGCCTTGTCCATAACTACCCAGCTGGCAAGTAGACTGAAATCCAGGTCTTCCTTAGCAAGTCTAGCCCTCTTCCCAATGCCCTGGGGCTGCCTCTCCAAAGCTGCCTTGGAGAGCCTCCAGTCAATTCAGAAAGTAATTGCTGCACGTAGAGGGTGAGAGTGTAAGAGTGTGTATGTGTGTAAGCGTGACAGAAAGAGAGCACAGGAAGGATTACTAATTACTACTAGCTGACCCTCAATCTGATCCTTCCCTCTTCTGCTCACTCTGCCTCTCAAACACGGAGAAAAACACTCACACATACATACAGTGTTCCAAAAGTGCCTTTATAACTGATATCTTTAAAAAAAAAAAAAGGGCTCAGAATTTGTGTCCCAGGAGATCTCTACTTCTATCTCATTTTACTAGGCGGCAAGAAACACCCACAATAATAGTAGCAACAACAAATGCTCCCCTCCCTTCATGCAGAATTTTACATAATAAACAATGTTTTCATGACAAACAGTCCCAAACCAGGTCCCCAGACAAGCTTACCTCCTCAAGAAGACGTGTCACGGCATCTATGTCATTGTATGTTTTAGTCATCTGGCCCACTCTCTCAGCACATAAAACTGAAAGAAACAAACAAAAAAAGACCATGAAACCATTACCTGGGGTACTGACTTCAGAAATTAGTTAGGGGAGAAGGGAATAAGCATTTATTTAGCACCTACTACATACCAGGCACTGTGTTAAGTGCTTTTACAAATATTATCTCATTAGATCCTCACAACAACCCCTTCAAGGGAGGTGCTATTATTAATCCATTTTACAGCTGAGGTAACTGAGGCAGAGATTGACTTGCCCAGAGTCACACACATAGCAAATGGCTGAAGCCATATTTGAAATTAGTTCTTCCTCATCCCAGGCCCAGAGTTCCATCCACTGTACCACCAGCTGCCTCCATCATTAGGACACATAAGCAGTTCTGAAGAGTACCAGGTGGATTCTGCCCAAAAGGCCACCTGTCTTAAATCAAGTCACCAAGACTCAAGATCATTTTTCACTTTTCAGCTACAAGAGACTTGAATTTTTTTCAATGAGGATGAGCTATTTTTTTTTGTTGTTTTCAGCGTCGGGAAATCACTGCAGGAAGGGGAAGTGAAGGTAGGGGGCAAAAGAGAGGGAGGGGAGAGGAGAGGCAAGGGACCCGAGGAGATAGATGCAGGCAGTAAGGTGGGGCAGCTAGCGATGAAATATTATTCTCCATTTTCCCTCCCACCAAAAAAAACCGCCAAAAGAGGGGAAATTCGGCAAATTGTCAATTTACAGAGTTAAGCATGCTAATCATTGCTTTTGGTTTATTTTGTATTGCAATAATTTTCTTTTGTTAAAGTATGCAGAAAGAAGAAGGAGGAGTGTTAGGAAAACAATGTATTCAGGGCCTTCAAGGGCATGATTTTTTGAGACATAAGCATCACCTTCTTCATGAGACTTTTCCTGATCTCCCCCAAACTACCTTCTATTTATCTTCTTTATACATTCACATATTTTACATATATAATTACATGCACGCATATGCAAACATATTGCCCTCAGTAGGATGAAAACTCCTCGTAGGGAGGGATTGCCTTCATTTTTATCTTTGTAACCCCACTGCCTATCACATCATGCCTGGCACACAGAAGACACTTAATATATGCTTACTGACAAACTAAAACCGGAAAAATTTAAGCCTTAGTTTAGCTTCTCCAAATTATCTAAATTCAGTAATCACTCAAGGGTTTCAGTAATCACTCGTGGGGGACATGTGAGGATTGAAGCATATCACAAAGTCAGTGTCAAAGGCATTACTAGCTGCAAAATGTTGGCCTGATATGGGATAGGCTCTAAATATTTTATTAAATTCCAGTGGAGATATTATCCTAATGAATAACCCAGGAGAAAGCAGAGCTGATGGAATGATTTTTCAATCTGAAGGAGGCAGAGTGACCTTGAAGCCAATTCTAAATCAGACCCTCCAGGGAGATTTCTAATTAATGGAAGGAAAATGAAAGCAGACAACTGAAAAGCAATAGCTGCTTGTATATCTTCCACATTTTCATTTTTCCTGGGCATTTTTAGTGCAAAAAACCTAACACTCTGTTAAGGGAGTTATCGTGGCTGATTAAATGGCCTGCTCCAGCATAGTGCTCCAAGGCAGCCCATTTCTCAATGTCAGACAAGAGTTTCAATTAAGAATAAGTCAATGGGTCTTCTTGACGGTAGTTGAAGGTGTTTAATTTGGTGTAAAAGGAATCAAGGTCAAATTACTTTACATAGTCACTCTCTGTGCGCTCCCCATGAAAGTATGTCATGGTCTAGTTGGGAACAGGTTTCCATACATTGAAAAGGATGAATTATTCATCATGTAAAACCATGATATTACGCCTTGGTACAGCTCAAGATGGAGCATGGCTAGCGAGCATGTTAGTGAGAACATTGCTGAAATTCTTAAGTCCAAAGCACTGGATATAGTCCCATATTTACCAAGGTTGATGACCCTGAGCAAGTCACCGAGCTTTGAGCTTTGGTTTCCTATCCATGAAATGAGAGGCAACATGGTATAACAGCTAGAAACTAGTTACCATCAGAAAGAACTGGATTCCAGACAACTCTGACATGTACTGAATGTGTGGCCCTGAGCAAATCAGTTAACTAGTACCCCTAGTCAGTCAACAAGCATAATTTAAGAGCTTATTGTATGCCATTTTTAGTACAAACCACTTGTTTATGCTGCCATTCATATCTTAGCTCCAACTCTACCAGTAACTAAAACTAACCCAATAACAGGTGGCAAAACGTGCCCACATCTTTCTCTTAAGGAGCATCATTTGCTCAAATGCAGAAAGGCCAATTTTTTTTGTCTGTTTAGGTAGTATAATACGGTTGATAGCAAGCTATTCTTGTCGACAAGTGGACCCGAGGTCAAGTCCTAAGTTTAACACATATTGGCTGTGTGACTGTGGTCTAATCAGTTACATTGTCAGTGACCCAGACTCAAAGACTGCAAGGTGCAGTAGGGTTGCCAATCTGCATTGCTAGAGGGAGTTTCCATACTGGAAGTTCCTTACAAAGATCAAATCACAAATCTAGACTAAAGATTTCATTGACCAATGATTTCTTATTAGATTTAAATGAGGGGAATGTGTAATGAATCACGTCAATGTAATGAATCAAAGTCAACAAAAGAAAGAAGATTCATTCATAAGCAAAACAGTATTGTGTTTTAGTATAGTCTAGGAGCTTAATGTTAACTGGGAAAGAAATAAGTGAGCAATTTGCAAAAAGGAAACATCATGGGATCATAGCTTTAGAGCTGGGAGGGACCTTGGAGTCATCTCATCCAACCCCCTTATTTTGTAAATGAGGAAACTGAGGCCCTGAGAGGTTAAGAGCCTAAAATCACAAAGGTAGTGGCAGTGAGCCTTTGAACTTGGGTCCTACGAAAATGAATAGGAGTTTGATAGAAGGAAAGGTTCCCATCTGAGCAAGCATTCCCTCCACTTAACTTGACTCATCTATGCAGTCCAGGGATACAACTTTCAACATCCCTTGACTTTCAAAGGGCTAGTGATCAAACTAAAGTTTTATCAGAGGGTGGGTCTTGGTGGTCAACAGCAATGACCATCTATCAATGGAATACCTATAGTTCTTTCTAGTGAAAAGACACCAACCATATACAGTCCAACAGCCTAGCAAATCCACAGGCCAAGTATCATCCTTTATTTGGAGGTGTGGGAAGAGAGTAAGGATGACCACACCTTATTTTCTTGGGAACTTCTACAAAGCCTATTGCGGGAGTTTATCCAGGCATAGAGCCATGGGGAGTCAGCATGGCTAAAGTCATCAACCTATTCATGAATGTGGATGACCCGTATGGCAAGAAACACTAAAATGCTTCAGGGTTAGTGATTTAATGAACAATCAGGCAAAGAATAAACATCCCTGATCGTTGCAACAGACAAAAGTTTGGCTCATGGACATTAACTTTTACTCATGGCAGACCATGTGATGCATCATATCTCCACAACTGAAATGAGGCAAAAGGGTAAGTGGCAGCATTTTGGCACTGGAGATGCCACTTTATAGAAGCTGAAGAGTGACTTAATTAGATCTGAACATTTGGAATTATATTTTTCTCAAAGGGTTAGCCAATCAGAGCAAGGGTTTTTATATCTCAGGATAGTTGGTCAATCAAAAAAGCATTTATTAAGTGCTTACTGTGTGCCAGGCACTGTGCTAAGCACTGACAGCAGTCTAACTTACTACTGTCCCCAAAAGGGGAACATAATAGTATTTTGATTTTATAGGTATTAAATTATGCTTCTCACAAAGTCACTACCCATCTATCATCTGACAGAGCCTGTTACATGGCTATGGAATCACAAGACTTAGGTTAAATACTCACTACCTGGGTGACCCTAGGCAAGTCACTTAAACTTTCAGGTCTCAGTTTCCTCATGTGTCAAATGAGAGGATTGGACACTTCTGGGCTGACTTCCAGCTCCACAGCTATGACCTAATTAATACATAGCCAATAATCTAATCCCTGGGATCATCATAAATAAGTATTTCTCCATAGACTAGTAACATTTCCAAGCAAAGTCTGATTATTCCAATCATGAAAGAGAAGTCAGTGTGCTTCATAATGAAAGTCAGCTAAATGTCCTCAAAATTCAGAAGAGGGTATTGTTACTATGGCAGACTCTAGAAAAATGGAAAGTGTTGAACAGGCCAAGTCACCACAGCTTAGTTGAGTCTGCTCAGAAGATTCAGTAGCTATCAGGATTGATCAATACACTAAATCAAAATGTGTACCCCCCATGTGCATTATAGTCATTGAGTCCCTTTCATGAAGGAAGGACTTAAATAAAATGATAGTTTATATTGTGATGAAGTAGCACTAAGCATCTTAGCACCTAGGCAGCTAGGTGGCATAGTGAATAAGTGCTGAGCCAGGAACACCCGAGTTCAAAAAGTCTCAGACACTTCCTAGTTATGTGACCCTGGGCAAGTCACTTAAGGCTGTTTGCCTCAGTTTCCTCATCCAGAAAATGAGCTGGAGAAGGAAATGGTAAACCACGCCAGGATCTATGCCAAGAAAACCCCAAACGGGGTCTTGAAGAATCAGACACAGCTAAAAATGACTGAACAACTGAAAGCACCTTCTACACAGTAGGCACTGGACTGGACGTCAAAAATCCAAGGACAAGAATGAAATAACCCCTGTCCTCAAGGAGCTTCAGTTCTATGGGGGGGGGGGGGACAACATGTACACAGAGCAGACAAGACAAGACAAGACATACACAAAGGAATTGGAGAAGAGGAGCGCTGATAGCAACTGGAAGAGCAGGACCCAGGCTGCATGACTTTTGGTACAGGAATTCCTAGACACTTTGAACAACGGGTTTTAAGTTCAAATCATTTAGAAAATTAATTTTAACAGTAAAAACCTTCTAGTCAACCACTTTTCTCCAAACTTAGTTTAAAATGTTCCATTCTAAATGTGTTTACATTATCAAATAAAGTTGTGAATTCCCCTTCTCTGCTGAAAGAAAAATAGGTATCTATCTAGAAGAAGTACATGCAG